CCTTTTCCATTATAGATGTAAAATTTTTAAGAAAACTTGTTCTCTCATTGTTGATAATGGATCTTGTAATAACTTTCTAATCCAAATGTTGGTTCATAAGCTTAAACTAACTACTATAGCCCATCCTAAATCTTATAAACTTTAATGACTTAATGAGGATGGTCCTATAGAGGTTAAAGACCAAGTAAATGTTCCTTTCTCCATTGGAAAATATAAGATGAAGTTTTATGTGATGTAATTCCAATGGATGCAAGCCACATTTTACTTGGTAGAGCATGGCAACATTATAGGAAATACATTCATGATGGTGTCACCAACAAAATTTGCCTAGTCCATCTAGGCAAGAAACATACTATGACTCCTCTTACACCATCACAAGTGTTAGAGGATCAAATAATATTTATGAAAAAGAAATTTGAGGAAGAAAAAAAAGTAGAGAAAAAAAACCCTCCTAAGTCTTGAAAAGAAGGAAGGGAAGGTTATAGAGTTGGAAGGTAGTGTCTCTTCCAAGGAAGTTGTTCCTAGAAGTCAATTTTCAATAAATTATTGAATAAAATAACGTCTTCTAGTTGAACAACCTCTTTACCTTCTCTATGTTAAAGAGACACTTGCTGCCACAAGTTTTGAACTTGAGTCTCTACCTAAGGGGATTCAAAATCTTTTAAAGGAATTTGATGACCTATTTCCCAAAGAAGTTCTAAGTGGACTTCCCCCTTTAAGGAGAATAGAACATCAAATTGACTTGGTCCCCGGGACTAGCCTACGCAATAGGCCGACCTATAGGACCAACCCCCAAGAAACAAAATAAATTAAGACCCAAATTGAAAGCTTGATGAAGAAGGGATGAGCCTAAGCCCTTGTGTTGTGCCTGTTCTTCTAGTTCTAAAGAAGAATAGAACTTGGAGAATATGCACAGACTGTAGAGCCATTTATAATATTACTGTAAAATATAGGCATCCAATCCCTAGATTAGATGACATGTTAGATGAGTTGCATGGAGCACTCATATTTTCTAAGATTGATCTTAAAAATGGTTATCGCCAAATAAGGATTAAAGAAGGAGATGAATGGAAAACCGCTTTTAAGACCAAGTTTGGATTATATGAATGGCTAGTTATGCCTTTTGGCTTGACCAATGCTCCTAGCACATTTATGAGATTAATGAACCATGTCTTAAGGGATTTTTGTCGTAACCCAAAAAATTCCAGTCTTACGACCAATTGTTTGAACTACTTTTTGAAAAATCTCATTAATTAGGGAATGCAAAACTAGACCAATCCTTAATTAATGGTTTTGAAAGATGAGTTCATGGAGTCGCCACCAATGTTTTACTCAAAAAATTGGAAAAAGAAAAGTTTTTCAAAAATTCAATAATGGCCATGAACACCAAAATTGGGTTCCTACTGGTAGCAAACTGAATTGTGAATTGGGAGGCCAATGTACTAAACGAA